ACAGTTGAAGTGTACCTCTGGTGCAAATTACTGACCTCTGTCATCATTTTAAGTGGGGGAACTTGCACAATCGGTGGCTGACTAAATACTTTTTTGCCCTACTGTACTACGTGCATTGCCCAACTCACGGGAACTCGTGCAAACGCCACGACACTTCTGCCAGGTGGATCTTCTAGGCTGATGGTGTGTGTTCTGTGGATGGGCTAAAATCAGACAATTTACACTGGATGATAAAGTACTTGTATTACTCTCCTTATCCAAATGAAAGTTATTTGCCAAGTGGCAGGGACCTTTTGTGGTCATGCAGTGAGTGAGGGATGTTGACTATAAAGTGGTGCATTCGGACAGAGGTGGAGCAAAACAAATATAGCACCTCCACCCCTTTAAAGCATGGAGAGAGACAGAAACTGTATCTCTGAGGAACCTGGTGAAAGACTGTTGTGATAACCATCTCACGCTGGTTCAGACAACAGCGTATTCCAGATGCATTCTCTCACTTGCCCATTCACACCACACTCACTCAGGTGTAACACTGTGTTCATGGTCCTACAGATTATCTGTACATAAAAGACAAGTAGTTCAGAAGGAACTGGCTGTAATGCTGGAGATGAGTGTAATAAGAGAGCTGCACAAAGATGGCTCTATATGCTCGTGCGCAGACTAAAACAAAGTGAATGAGGTGTCATCGCTTATCCCATGACGCAGGTTTTTATGTGTATATAGGCTAGGTGCATGTTAGGTGCATAGCTGCCAGCCATCACCTAATTGTGCCTTCCCTATTTTACACAGTAGGATGCTGGAACCAAGGGCCATGCACAAGAAGCGGTCAGAGCAACATTCAAGTGGCTGAAAGCAAGCACGAGAGCTGCGGCTCACACAGCTGTGTGTGTGCCAAGCAGTGAAGACTGTCTGAACTGCCATACTCCATGTTAGACTTGGTGTTTTGGGTTTGTCAGTAGCCTCTTGTGTTGCAAAGAAACTGAAATACAAATTCTAGTGAAAATCATCTGTTGCTTTATCCATAAAAGTTAAAAACAGTACCTTTTTCAAATTTTTACAATCTTCCCTTCATGGTTGTCTCTTTGTGCACACCTGGACTGCTCCCAGTACTCCATATAGGCTTCTTATAAGTCCTGTTCAAGAATGTATACATGAACAACAAACTTAACTTAAGATCAGTTTCTGTGTCAAAACAGAACCAATAGCAAACTGTTTCTTCAACTGAAGAACTGAAACCCTGTTGGTTTACGCTGTGAGTGACTGCCTTGCAAAAATCTTGGCAGCACAGATGCAGCACACTCATCCATTGTCACAAGTTGCAAGAACATGAGAATCTGCTAACATGTCCAAAGGAGAACATGCAGCTGTGGTGCATAAGGAGTAAGTACTTTTGAGTAAGTACTGCACAAGGAGACAACCTTCAAGAGGAGATTTGGCAAATGTAACAGGTAAATGTACCTGTTTATATACTCACATATGTGGAAAGTACAAGATTGAATTAATGCTGAATAATGCTCAAGGAGCTATAAAGACTGTGTAAAACCACAAATGTGGATTTGTGGACAACTTGAAATTGTTTGAAGAGTAAGTGTATACTATATGCAAACTAAAAAGCACTCAAACACCTGGATATAGGCTCTGCATCTAAGAGCTTCTAAGTGTTATTGAGTTTACCTGATGTCTATTATCTCCAATAAATTTTATGGCTTTGTTCTGATGGTACACAGTTAAAGCTCCGTGAGGATGCCAACATTTCTATGTTTAAGATTTTCAACAGAATCCTCCTCTGAGGATTGTGAATTGTTGAGGATTGTTGCTTTGTAATGCCATTTTTATATTGTATATATAAATATTGTATTTTATATTGTATTTTATATTATATTGTTAAGCACTTTGTGCAGCATCGGCTGTTTGAAATGTGCTATATAAATAAACTTGACCTTGACCTTGAATATCCAGGAATTGTAATCTGATATTGTTCCTTTACTAGATGGTACTTACCACAAAACACCTGACCAAGGTCACTGTAGTGATTCACATTTTTATCAATCCCCACGCAGATTATAATTTTCTATAACACAGAAAACATCTGCTGTATCTTAATAAATTCCTCTGACCTGTGTGGATGCCAGCTCTGAGCTGAAGCCTCTCATTGGGCATGTGAGGAATGGAGACCTGTCTGACGGCTGCTACCAGATCCAGAGCCATCTTGGCAATTTCATCCACATGTCTGTCTCCGTTCCTTTCAGGTAGGCCACTCACCACCATGTATGCATCTCCTATAGTCTCCACCTGGATTAACAGATTTTTAGAAATTTGCATAAAATATACAACCTACTCATGTCTAGGAAAATGCCGGGATCGGTGTGGGATCGACTCGTCTGATTTATATATTTTGCAATACCATATTTTCCGCACTATAAGGCGCACTTAAAATCCTTTAATTTTCTCAAAAATCAACAATGCGCCTTATAATCCAGTGCGCCATATGTATGAATTCTGGTTGTGCTTACTGACCTCGAACCGATTTTATGTGGTACACGGCGCTCAAAAATATGTCAAAAATGTTTTAGTACAACTTTGGTAAGCTACAAAGCCACACCGCTTGATGGATTGTTGCAGCATTACGGCTACCGTAGTCAGGAGCCTTGCAGAGTAATCTGGGTCCAAACTAGGGCTGGGTATCGTCACTGATTTCTAGAATCAATTCAATTCCGATTGACAAGGTCCTGAATCAATTCGATCCACGATTCGATTGAATTCGATTTGAATCTGGGAAATTTTGCCTCAGACAGTCAGGAATATTATAATTCAGATCAGTACATTTACATATTTTTGTATCTCTAAAAAGGAAGCTGACACTTTCCAGACTTTATCAAAGGTGTAAGCATCACAGCAGATGCCTTTGTGTCAAAGTAGCTGAAGATAAAACACAGAAAAACATGAAGGTGATTTTCCTGGCCTGGGATTTTATAAAAATATTCTGCAGTACATCAAAAACGAAAGAAAAACATTAATCAACTTATGAACATTACCTCTGAAGTTACAGCGGTTTTATTAGAGACACGGCTAAGCATTTTGTATTTTGTATAATTTTAAAAAGTTTAAATTTGTTCAGAAGCCTATTGAACGGCAGAAATTAGGTTTTCTTTTCGGAAGTAAGTAAAACGGAAAAAAAACATCGGCCGACAGCGCTGTAAACAACGGTAGTCTTGTGCGTAACAAGCAAACAAATAATGCAGAAAACAGATTTCGGGGATAGATGGGAAACTGTTCTTGAAGTACACTGAGAAACGGAGAGAGAGAGAGAGAGAGAGAGAGAGAGCTGTGCATGAAGTGTGATTTTATCAAACAGCAAAAGTCAGAGGGAATCCATGACGATGTTTATGTGAAGCTTAGTTTGGATCTTCTTTTGCTGCTGGTTTGGTCAGTATTGTTTGGAGAGAGATAAAACTAACAGCTTTAGAATCAGCGCAAAAAGGGCGTAAACACAAAGCGTGGGCCCGCCGAAACATCAGAATCAGCGAGCTGTCAGCTTTCAGCCCCGACCGTGTCGTGCCGTCGGGTGAGAAAGTCACATCTCACTGATTCTGATCCGCAGGTCCGCGCTTTGTGTTTACGTCTTTGTGCAGAAGCCATGTAGCTGCTCTCATTTACTGTTTTAGCTGTTTGGTGGTTTTAGAAATTTTGTGAGGTTTCACCTGAGATTCTGGAATTTTGGGCAAAATACACTTATATAAAAAAATCGATTCAGGATTTTAATGAATCGATATCACGTTATCCAAGCCAGAATCGATTTTAATCGATGAATCGATTATTAAAACCCACCCCTAGTCCAAACTTTGCTTCAGGTCCCAAAGTCAAACAAACACTGCAGCATCACTGAGAGTTAAAAACTATCTAAATTCTTTCATCTTTAATAAAATGATCAGCGTTGCATCCAGGCATCCATGAAAACAGAATTTATTATATTTAACGGAGTTAGAAGTTAGCAGGAAGTTAGCTCGCTAGTTTCCACCTAAACATGATATACCATGTTCTGACTGAGAGATTTCTGAAAATTAAAACGTACAGCTCTGCTATCACTTAAATGAAGGACCCTCCAGCAGGAACAGAAGATGAAGAAGAAATGAAGACAGAAAACTAAACCGCAGTGACGTTTGTAGGGTTACTGAAGTTGGGCCAGCTGATATATATATGATGTGCTATGTGATCGCGAGCGACACAGCTATGTTAGCATAGCAAAAACACAGTGAAGCTGGAGGATGAACGCTAACTTTTTTCCATTCGATAAAAGTTAACGTGAGGGTTCCCGATGGTTAGAGACAAATGCAATCGCAGGATGCTGTAAACTGACCAAACTTCAGTCAGGAGAACAACTGAGAAAATCCATCCACAGTACGAGGTTAGTCATTAATATACTGCAACAACATTATGAATCAATGGTACGGAAGTGGAGGAAGCAAGAAGAATGAGTAAAGTAGAGTAAAGTTTGACTAATCTGACTGTTTTGTTTTGTTTAATGTGCCTTATAATCCAGTGGAGAGAAAGGTGGTCAGATTGTCCCAGGTGGGGTAGGGGTGTCGCTTTGCAGGTTTGCTTGATGTTACTGTACACACGGTCCAGTATCCTGTGCCCCTGGTAGGACGCTTAACATGATGGTGGAATTTCGAGTTTACGGATTTCAAACATGGCTTATTAAAATCCCCAGCAACGATAGGGCCCTCAAGCTGGTCTCTGCTGTTTACTGATGATAAGTTTTAGGTGATCGCTTACCAGAGTCTTTGTTGCAGTCCTGGCGGTGAAGCATCAGATATTTGTGGATGGAGCCAAGATTCAGTTTTAATCAGTAGATAACACGCCCGGACAAAATGGTTGTAGTAAATCTTTGATTGTAGCTCTTCCATTTTGTTTGTGTAGGATCTGTCGTTAGTTAGGAAGATGAATGGAAGCAGGGGTTTGTGTTGCTGCTTTTGCAGTTGGACACGATAGCCAGCTCTGCATCCCAGCTTTTTATTCCTCTCCTGCCATCTCTTGCTGTTCCTGACAATAACCAATGGAGCTCCTGGTGGTCTTGCAATCCTGATAGATACTGTGAGTCCAATCCAAATAAAGTCTGGCTTCAGGCTGAGGTCAGTGTCTTTCAGTTCCTGACTACTGAAAGTGATCAGTGCATTGCAGGAACTAGCAATGAAAAAGCATAAAAAGCACAAAAAGAAAAGTGCTGCAGCACGCGTCCATTTGCATTTCAATCTTTGAATTCAGCTTATTTGAAACTTTAGTAGGATATAAACAAACCTTAACCTCCTAAGACCTGAACTCTTCCACAGCATGTATTTTTAATTTCTCTTTGATATTTGGGCATATTGGG